CTCCCCCTGCTTGTGTTCCTGCTCTCACTATCTCCCTGTCTGTCAAATAAATAAAATCTTTAAAAAAAAAAAAAAAAAAGAGTTGGACGCTTAACTGACTGAGCTGCCCAGGCGCCCCTGAAACCTCTTCTAACCTGGGCTTGCTGCTGTGTAAAATGCAGTGGGTATTCTGCATGGAGCACTGGGTGTTATGCACAAACAATGAATCATGGAACACTACATCAAAAACTAATGATGTAATGTATGGTGATGAACATAACCATAAAAGTAAAAAAAATGCAGTGGGTAATGTCTACCTCGTATGGCTGTTAGAAAGGTCAAAATTAGGTGATGTTTCTCATGCGTTCAGCTTACTTGTTTAGTTAACAACTAAAGCCATTATTATATTATCCTTTAATATTGTTAGTTTTAATATTTTATTTTATTTTTTTTTTTTTAAAGATTTTATTTATTTATTTATTTATTTGAGAGAGAGAAACAGCATGAGAGGGGATAGGGTCAGAGGGAGAAGCAGGCTCCCCGCTGAGCCAGGAGCCCGATGTGGGACTCGATTCCAGGACTCTGGGATCATGACCTGAGCCGAAGGCAGTTGCTTAACCAACTGAGCCACCCAGGCACCCAGTTTTAATATTTTAAATAAAATAATAGGTAAAAGAGTAAATCCATGAATAAATGTAGTGACCCAAGCAAAACCCCCACTCCTGCTTTTCGCTCAGCCTAGGAAAAACTATGATGGAATATTTCCCCTATCCTGGGAATAGCTATTTCTGTTTCTCAGTCTTTGGTCACAGTTTCCTTTTTCTCCTGTTGTTTTACCCTACCTGGTAGAAATATCAGGGCTCCTGCCAGAGCTTCCCAGTCCCAGGGGAGAGAATTAGTCAAGGTCTGAGAGTGACAAGGGAGAGCAGTCCAACTTCATTCTTGCTTCTCTTTCCCTCTCCTCCTTTTCCTTCCTGTGGGGGAAATAAAAAACACTTAACAAAAATTGGCTCAAAAATTCAGTGTGATGAATCATGGAACACTTCATCTAGAACTAATGATGTAATGTATGGGGATTAACATAAGAATAAAAAAGAAAAAAAGAAAAAAAATGAAAAAAAAAATTCAGTGTGATTTCTTCAAAGGTGTCACTGGAATCTTGATAGATATTGAAAGGAAAAGTTTACAAAGGAACCAATAACGGCAACAGCAAATAACCAGAACAGAATGCTGAACACACTGCACGATCCCCTCATCTGTCTTCTAAGTACTGTTGGATGCCAGGCACTGGACTTGGCCCCGGGAAAACAAGATCACCCAGGGCAAGATTCCTTAAGGCCAAATCTTCAATCTAGGGAGATGGACAAGCACGTCTATGATTGAGTAGGCTAAGATCTGTGGAGCACGATCAGGAAAGCACAGGGCACATAATGGGTACCCTGAGTAAGCAAGTCAGGGGAGACTTCCAGGAGGTGATGCCTGAGCTGGGTTTTAAAGGTCAGCAAGGAGTTAGTAAGATTAAGAGGTATTTGGAAGACAGTCAAGTCTGAGGGAACAACAATAATATTGGTAAATTAAACTGCGTTGGCTTAGATTTCTGAGAATCTAAGGTGGATGTCAGAAAGATTGTTTCTGATAGATCAGTTGAGTCACCACTGATCCTATAAGATTCCATGGCTCAAACAGGTGGGTCTTAAGCTAAACTGCGATTATAAAAAAATTGTGGTCTTCTCGGTCAAAGGAAAATTAAAATTGGAAGAATTAAGATTGGAAGGTTTCCTTGGGTAAATTTCTCAACTCATTAAGCTTTTCTTTGTCTCTAAAATGGAGACTGTAACACCATCTATCTGTGATGAGATGGTTAGTTACCAACCCATCATCTGCTCTCCCTGTTTCTTTAGCAATGGAGCCAGTTTTTGGTTAAGATGGCAATGTGCCCAGAGTTTTTTTTAATTACATTTCCCAGCCTCCTTTGAAACTAACATCACCATGTGACTAATATCCGACCCTTGAAATAAAGTGGCAATATGAAATGGTATTTCCAGGGAGGTTATTAAAAAGGGAGAGGGTAACAGGGATTGACTACAACTGAGCATGAGGGATCTTTCTGGGGTGATGAAAAAGTTCTAAAACTGGATTGCAGCAATTGTTGCGAAACTCTGTAAATTTGCTAAAATTAATTGAATTGTATACTTAAAATGAGCAAATTTTATGGTAAATTACACCTCAATAATGTTATAAAGTAATAATAATTATTATAAAACATTTAAAATGGGTTTTTGGGTTTTTTTTAAAGGAATGTGTTTATTTTTATTTTTTTTTTTTAAGATTTTATTTATTGGGGCACCTGGGTGGCTCAGTCATTAAGCGTCTGCCTTCGGCTCAGGTCATGATCCCAGGGTCCTGGGATCGAG